CTTTTTCTAATCAGAGAATATGTTTTGGATCCCTGCATGTCATTAAACACACTTTAACCTGTTTACTGCCACATACAAACTTGTCACTGGACTTGACCAGTAACTTCAGTAGTTTAATATTTATACAACAACTTCACTTTTGAAATTTGCTGTTTCATTAACATTCTGATGCCAGCGACCAAATGTTAGTTTCCAGAAACATGACTTAAATTCCATTAAAGTCACTTTGTCACTGGCATACAGTGTTTGCAAATTGTCACTTGAAAAACAAGCTCTTTATGTCAGCATGAAGTCCAAATCGTGGTTGCTTTCTTCCTGTTTCTTGCTAAAATCTCCAGTAYATGGAAACTGGAAAGGTTTTGGTATGTGGTTTATAATTTGCAGTGTAAATGAAAAACAAAGTTTAACAAAAAAAGTTTATCTTTGTTAATCTTATATTCCATCCATTAAAGGCCCACGTCTATCAGAAACACAGTGTGCATTCATGCATTTAGTGCATTCTGAGACAGACCAGTGTCTTATCAGTGTCAGTTAAKCTACAGTATATAGAGCGTTTATCATGTTTAGACATGATAAATGTTTRAAATTTATCTACATAGAACATTAAAACAACAAAAATTGACCAAAGTGCTTTACCAGTCAGTCAACTAAAAATGTAAAACTTCATTAAGGACAAAAATAAAAATTAAAAAAACAAGACACTTTGTGTCATAGACAAAACACTACTAAAGTTATAATAGAACCCAGAAACACACAATAAAAACATTCAGTTCTAACTGAATTGAAACCCTGCTTGAATCAAAAGCCAAAAAATAAAAATAAAAATAAAAAAAGGACAAGAAAAAAAGCCTCAACTGTCTTGGAGGTCCGTAAATGAAAAACTATTTCACAGTTCTAGGACAGCAAAAGCCCGATCACCTCTGCATCTAACATCTAAGAGAAACTGGTTAGGGTAGAGCACTCTTACTGGAGAGTGAAAGTTGAGGAGATCACATAAACATGATGTGTCCAGACYTGTTAACATGTTTAAAAACAAGCAGTGAGGTCTTTAAATTGATTCAGAAGTGGACAGGAAATGAATGGAGAGARGCCAGTAGTTCATATTTATGTAAAGAGGAGCTGCTGTGTTTTGGAAGATTTGTAAGCGATGCAGGGATGATTTATTCAAACCAGAATACAAGGCATTACAATCACCTGAGAGGTAATAAAACCATGAATCTCTTTTTCAAGGTTTTTAGTGGGGAGATAGGATCTCATCATGGAAATGAGTCTTAGTTGAAAAAAAAAAGATTTGCATATTTACTAATGTGTCTGATTTAAAAACACTTTCAAAACTAGACACCGCATAGTGGTAACATAATGACCCCGCACGCACAAATGCACCAGAACTCAGAAGTATTTATTCCTAATGAATGCCATGCTACTAGG